CGCTCGGGTGGGGGGGGGGCGGGGAGAGGGGAGAATCCCTGGGACTACGCAGCTGGCCCAAGGCCACCCAAGGCTGTCTCTCTTCTTGAGCAACACAGTGCGAAATCAAATTCCCAACCTGTCTCCTCAGCTAGAGACCGAAACCACATGCCAAGCTTTCTGCATGGAAGTTGTTAAAAAAGCGTGTGTGTTTGTGCATCTGCCACAAGGAAGCCATTACACACCTGGCAACAGAACTGAGGAGTAGTAGGAGATTTCATGAAGAAATGCTACACGGGTGTTCTTAACGGCTTGGAGGAGAGTGCGTCACGCCCTGCTGGCACCCATCCCGCATGCTTCTGAACCCACACATTTCCTTTTCAAACAGCCAGGAAGGGGCGGGGGGGGGAAGCTTTCCCAGCCGCCTTCTCCCCTAGGGAGGCGGCTGGTGATCTTCATCACACCTGCCAGGAAGAAGCGGCTCCTCCCCTCTGCACTGGAAGAGGCCCCTCGTGTTTTGCACCACTGAGTTCACCTTGCCCCTTGCAAAAGGAGGGTAAGCCTTTTTCTCCCGTGTGGTTTCTGGACCCTCTCTGCTCTTAGTTTGATAAGAACGTAACACAGAACAACCTTGGATCAGACCAAAAGCCAAGCCAGCTGGGCGTTCGGGTCACTCCACAACCAGAGGGACGTCCCAGGAAGCCCCAAGGCGGGACACGAAGGCAACAACCCCTCTTGCGGTTCATGCCTGCCTGCACGCCTTTTGTTTAAACCCTGCTTTCCTCCCTAGCCATTCGGAAGCATGTAAATGCGAGTAGATAAATAGGGACCACCTCGGTGGGAAGGTCATGGTATTCCGTGTCTAGTCGCGCTGGCCACGTGATCACGGAAAGTGTCTTCGGACAAATGTGGGCTCTATGGCTTGGAGACGGGGATGAGCCCTGCGCCCTAGAGTCAGACATGACTGGACTAAATGTCAAGGGGAACCTTTACCTTTCCTCCCTACAGATGCATGCCAGGTAGCTGGTCTTTTTTTTTTTCAACTGAGGGCCATATTTGCTTTCCTCCTCAAATAAAGCCACCCTGACATCTAGCCAGTGAATCTAACTAACTCCCTTTTAAATGCATCCAAGTTAAGGTCATTTCTACATCCGGTGGCAGTGAATTCTGCAGTGTTACTGTCCCCCGTGTGAAGCAATGCCTTCCACCAAGAGACCGGCTTGCATGCTTGGTTCCCAATGGCATATCCGCGCACCACACAAACTTACCGGCATGGAAGTAGGGGCTCATGGTGTACGGGAACCCAAAGGGCAGAGGCTGAGGAGGTGGGATGGAGGCTGGAGGGAGGTATTTGGTCTCAGTTTTGTTGATGACCGGGCCGAGCAGGTGGCTGGGTGACTCGGCGCTGGAAGAGCTGCAGGGGGCGCTCTGGCTGGCCACCATTTCATTCAGTTCTTTGGTGGCATCACAGATCTTGGCCGACTCTTTGCACTCCTTCAGGTCACTGGCCGACCCGCGGTTTTCAGGCTTCAGGCGATCTGACTTCTCGTCGTTCACCTCCGCGTCACTCTCCGAGTCCTTCATCTCTTCGTCGGCGTTGCCGTCGGGAGGCCGGCTTTCCAACAGCTCTTTGGATTCGCTCTGGCCGGGCGTCTCAGCACGGTGGTGCGCTGACTTCCGGCTGCCCCGCCGGCTCCCCGGCTGCTCCTTGGGTGGGGTGGTGGAGGCGCCGGGGACCCCGTGATGGTTTAGCGACAGCAAAGGGGTGGTGTTGTGACGGAGCACCAGCATGGCGTTCCTCCGCGAGAGCTCGTCCCGGAGCGCGTGTCCCTCGGGGATGTCGTGGACGCTGCGCAAGGCCGGGTGATCCGGCGGGAGGCCTGGGTGCAAACTTAGTGGGTCACCTGCCAGGAGCCTCTGGCGATGGAGGTTTTCCAGCTCCTTTTGGCGGATGATCTCAGCTGACATCTCAAGCCTGAATGGAAGGGATTTCAAGGCAAAATGGTTGGACAAGGAAGGAACTCACAGACCTGTATTTGAACCCTGCCTTTGTCACAGGCTTGCTACACAGCCTTGGGCGTGTCATTTCCCCCCCCCCCCCGGCTGCAGCTCCCCATCTGTAAAATAGGATTCAAAATAATCTGTCTCACAGGACTCCCAGCTGAGAAGGAAACATATTTAAAAATGGTGAGACTTTCTCTATAAGGAATGGACGAAGTCTAAAGGTCTGGGAGCTACTTTGCCATGGCTGGCCGGGGGAGGAGGTGCGAGAGAAGAAGAATGAATGAAAATGGGGTGGTGGACCATGTGGAGAGGAGAGGGGGGGGGAAATGAATGAAGTAGTCAGAATTTGACTTCTGATTTTGTTTGCTTGTCGCACCTAAAAAGGAGAGGGTGCCTGGTGTTTAAGAGAAGAGCCGTTCCTCCCCGAGAATGGGACTCAGTCTGCCTGCCTCCCTTTTGGTCCCAAGGTTACTCCCCACCCCCCTATAAGCAGCCTAAGGAGTCACATGTGTGGCCCACAGGCACATGATTCCCAAGCCTTGCCTACAGGACCCACAAGGGCTGCCTAGCCGTCTCAACAGTAGCAAAGCAAGGCCTACAGGTTCCTTTCCATTCATAAACCATAATGCAGCCCCTTTCCTTCTCCGCCCCCCCCCCTTTACGCATCGCCCAGGCAGCTCCATCCCTTTCCACGCCTGGTCGAGGGGCGAGGTGAACCCAGCTGGAGGCCAGCATGGGAGAGAGACAGCAGAAGCCACAGCCAGGCCCATCACGGGGCTGGCCAAGCAGCCTTCCTGCTCTCCTCGAGGGAGAGGAGCTGTCCGGGAGGGAGGCATTGGAACAGAATGATAATAATGTGTTTGGCACGGCTTGCGGCTCCTTGGCTGGAGGAAGCATACCAGCTAATCTCTCTCCTCCGTGGACAGGCAGAGGGGGAGACTGAAGTCAGGGCCAAGCCCTGGGTGGCTCCAGCTACAGGCGGGAGGGGGGAGAAGAAGTGGGGGGGAGAAAGCATCCTGAAACCTCCCTTTGGCCAAGAGGCTTGCACGGACCGAGCGTCTCACCTGGCGAGGTTCTGCTTCCTCAGCATCTCCTGCTGCCGTGCAAACATCTCAGCCTGAGCAGGCTGCAGAAAGCCATAACCTGCAGAAGGAGGGGAAGGAGGTGCAAATGTTGAGGAGGAGGCCGCTTAGAGGAGACGTCGGGTTTTCAGCCAGCCCAGCCCAGTGGGACTTCCAAGGTTCTGGCCCACTGGAGGACTCGTGGCATCCTCTGCCTTTCAAGAAGGGGTTGGGAACCTCGAACCTCCTCCCCGCCCCATCCCGAGCCTCTATTCCCCCTGGCCCCGGGTTCTTTCCACCACCTTTCCCTCAATCCCCTGCAGGGAGGAGGAAGCCACAGGGCCAGGAGCACCCCGGAAACTGCACAAGGGTGATCTTTCACATTTCCGAGATAAACTCGTGTTGGCATTTCCAAAGCCAGTAATGCTGTTAAACTGGAGGCTCCTGGAGCACCCCACATTTAGCCCTATCAGGGGCTGTCCTCCCCATAGAAGGGCACGCTTACCTGGCGTCTGGCACAAGGCGGAAGGCACCCCAATGAAGGGAGGTCTTAGATGCGGGCCCAGGGCAATGTGAGGAGCGTTCTGGGGCGAGAGGAGAGGCGGCGGGTGGGACATCTCCCTGAGACAGAGCGGGAAGCAGGGCAAAGAAAGAGGAGGGCAAACATTCAGAAAGGCAGGAACCTCAGTCCCCTACAGCGAGCGAGCGGCAGGAGAATTAAAACTAATCCCTGTTTCTAGGCAAAGATCTCAGGTAACTGTGGGTGTTGCTCTGGAGGCCTTCCTGATGGGGCAGATACCAGTCATGCTCTGCAAACTGTGAGGCAACAGGGCAATGGTTAAAAGGTCTGCTAAGGACAAGAGCCTGGGAACTATCTTCAACTACAACTCCCAGAATCCCACACTCAGAAACTAAGAAAGGTAATGTTGGGTGGTGGGGTTTTCTAGAAACCGGTCCCCCCCCCCCAAAAAGGAACTTTTCCAAGCGCTGGTAAGCATAGCTGGAGACACAGGTATGGGAAACAAGAGGACACAAAAACTCATCATCATCATCATCAACATGTGCCATCAAGTCAATTGTGACTCACGGTGACCCTTTCCAGAGTTTTCCAGGTAGAGAAGAGTCAGAAGCGTGCTACCCTTTCCTTCCTCTAGGGGCACTGTGGGATGGGGCAGCTTGCCCAAGGCCACCCAGGCTGGCTCTTCTCCCAGGAGTCCCTGCGGGGGAATCGGACTCCCAACTCTCTGGCTTTGCAGCCAGAGACCTCAACCCACTGTGGGCAGTTTAATTTCTCAGCTCTTGTGCAAGACGACTTCAGTAATGCACACCGGTTTGTAGTCTTGAGGAGGGCCTGGTCTCAGAGCGGTGACCTGTTGGAGGCCATTCATTCACAGGATCACCCTAACTCGGAGCTGACCGGGCAGCACCTGAGATCAACAACTCTGATTGAACCAAACACAAGGATAATAGAGAGTTCTCTCCAACAGATCGTAGTTTTATTTGTCTTTCTTTAGCCACTTTTTGCTAAAAGAACTCACAATACTGGGGGTGGGAATCATTCAAAACATTTCCAGGACCCACCAAAAACGCTGTGCTCCTGTCTTTAGTTCCTGCAGGGTGCCTTCTAAGCAGCCACTGGGTCCGCCTCGCAGACAAAGGTCCAGAGCAAAAGGCTTCCCTCTTTGGCCAGAGAGGCCACCTTACAAAGTCAACTTGGGGGAGGTTTAGAACACAGTCCCATCTGCGTCTACTCAGGAGCGAGACTTGACAGGCTCCATGAGATCTCTGGACACCCAGGTAATGCCTCAGACTATCTCCCCTCTCTAGTTTTTCGATGCTTGGATAATTAACCACCCAGAGAGTCACACTGGGAGCTCTCTGGGAAAGCTGCCTTCCCCAGATCTGGGCTCAGCAGCCTCCTTGCCTACTCGGTCCTCATCTTATCTGTTGTCCGGAAATGTCTACAAGCTATTAAGGGCTGCAGAGAAAGCCTGCATCGGTTCAACGTAATGAGCCAAGGGAAAATGCAGGGAACCGTGGTCTTTTCCGGGAAGCCGGCTCTTCTCTTGCGTTCTTTCCAGGCTCATCTCTTATCCCTCCCAACATCCACTTCAGAGCCTATCCCTCCAAAAAGGGGTTTCCCGCCCAGCCCAGGGAAGGTCCTGGCGTTCCCTTCCACACCACCCAGTTTGGAACATGACCTGCTATTATTATAACAATCACCTGCCGTCAAGTTGATTCTGACTGGCGACAACCCTTCCCGAGGTTTTCCAAGTAAAGGAAGACTCAGAAGGGGTTTCCCCATCCCTTCTTCTGCAAGGGATCCCTGGGATGGGGCAGCTGGCCCAAGGACACCCAGGCGAGCTGTTACTCAGCCCATTTTCAAAAGTTTTGTGACGTCAGTGCAGTGCCTGGAACAAATGTGTCTATTTTCCAAATGTGTTTATTTTGCTTCCACATGAATCTCGGCGCCTCCATGGGGGGTGGGAAAGAATTTTTTATATGATTAACTTCTGCTAAGCCAACCGCTTTATATTCTCAACCCGCTTTATATTCTCAAATACTGGGTAGATCTAAACCTAAAACCAAACCTTCACGGGTTCATTAAAAATACATATATATGTTTTTAATCACACACATACACTGTATAGGCAACCTCTAGCCAGCGTGCAGAGAGAAACAGAATGATATACAAAGCAGAGGGCTGATGTACTCTTTCTAAAAGGGTTTTAGAGATGATACAAGATAGACCGAAGGAAGGAGGAACATAGCTCAGGGGTTGAGGTCTCTGGCTGTGGAGCCCAAGGTTGGGAGTTCGAATTCCCCACTGGGCCTCCTGGACAGGCATTGGACTCGGTGATCCAGAGGGTCCCTTCCTACTCTGCAGTTTTAAGATGATGATGAATAAATGCTGTAATTTAATGGATGAAACTTGTTCCCCAAGACCCAGCCCTTCACCCCCTTCTTCTTTTCCCATCTGCCCCACAACGAATGGACGGACGGATGGCTTCACTCCCCCTTCTCCTCCCCCCTCCCTTGCCCCCCTCTTCCCACCT